ACCTTACCCCCTGCCCCCACACATTAACAGCCCCGGCTAATAAGCCTCCAACCCCTGTGCTCTTTCCCCCCCCCTCCGCCCTGCCCCTGCCCCTGCCGCACACTCATACCCGGATGGGTCACATGGACTCCTCCCCCATGTCCCCCTCTGCCTGTTGTAGCTTGCCGCTGAAAGGCCTCTCAAGATGCTGCTGGAGCGCCTTCGCGCGTATTTGTGGACGATATATGTGCCGCATTATGTACCAGCTACTACACTGCCGCACCTCCCCCTCCCTCCCTCCCTCCCTCCCACCTCCCTCCCTCCCTCCACCCCTTCCTCCCTCGCTCCCCCCCCTCGCTGTCTTCTCCCCCCCCACCTACACAGTCTCCTCCTCCCTCCCCCTCAGCCCCCCCCAGCACCGTCAGTATGGATCTTCTTATCTTGGCGTATCCGTCTATGTTTTCCCTTCTCCCCAATCGTGTCTGTGCTTCGTCGCACCCCCCGCACCTGAATATGTGGTAGATGGTGGGCATGGCGGGGTTCTCCCGGTGTAACCTCGCCACTCGGTCGATGTCCCTGCCCGCCACCACCACACCCCGCCACCGCACCAGCGTCTGAGCCACGGAGGGCCTTATGATGAGCACCTCGTGGTCGCCGCTACGGGCCCAAAGGGAGCCGTACCTGGGACGAGACACCGGGTCATTGTACGAGCATGAGGCTGCGGTAACATTGCATGTGGCAGTTGTTGGGGGCATGAAGTAAGGGATCAACTGCCAACAACGTCCCAAACCACTTTGGACGTTTCTTTAACGGATATGCGGGCGGCCGGGGGAGGTTATATGCAAGAAGGGTCGGGGGTGGACTGCCCAACCCACACTGAGACCAACTACCAACCGCCAACCACCAACGTGGCGCGCCACAACAACTGCCAGTCCCACGTCAAGGGCACACCCACAGCCACGCCACGGGCACGTCGTCTAATCCTCGGTCCCTTCTTTCTTTCTACGCCGCCTCCCACGCCACCCTTCCCTCCCCTCCCCTCTCCTCCCCTACCTAATCGATCCCACCCTGCCTTCCACTTCCCAGTCGCTGAAAGACCACCTCGCAGGCCTGGTGCTCCCAGCGTTTGTGGAGAGAGGGGGGTCGCGGTTGCGAAACCTTCCTCTGGACTACCTGCACATCTCCTCCTTCCCCACCCTGACGACCTCCTCCCACCTCTGGAAAACCCTCCTAGCTCCCCACACCTCACAGCCCTCTCAGGGCCTTCCCCCCAGCCCCAGAGGCCTCCACACGCGCACCCGCTCCAGGCGCCCCCCCCCCCAACCATCGACCTCACTTGTTCAGGTATTTCCGATTAGAGCCCATCCACCCGATGACCACCACACGACATGCCACCGGGCTGATGATTATGGGCGGGGGAAGACCCGAACCCGACCCGTCCGGCGCACCCCTGCCGCTACTGCCGCCATCACCGCCAGGGCCCCAAGACGCGCTGCTGGCAAAGCACCGACCAGCCCCGCTCCTGCCGATTCGGCTGTAGCTGTAGTTGTGGTTGCGGCTGTAGCTGCGCGTGCCCAGCAACCCCCGGGAGCCCGTGCTGCTGCGGAAGAATCCAATACCGTTCACATGCGATGCTGTGCTACTGCTGCTTGTGTCACTGCTACAGTTGCTGCAACGGCTGCTACTGCTGCTGGTGCCCGGGATGTTGCTACAGCCGCTGGCAGTATGGCCGCCATGGCGGCCGAGTACGGCCGCCGTACCGTGTACGGCTCGTCGTGAGGTTAGGATGTGTCCGCCGGACGGTTTCCCAAACGAGGACCCCGTTGCGGCGCAGCTGATGCAGGGGAAGGGACAGGGTAGACGTCCCGTGTGTGGGGGGGTGTGGAGGAGGAGGGAAGCAGGGTTAGCAGGGCTGGCTGATATGCCCGAGGGTAGCTGGCCTATGCGGAGGGTATACTGGATAAGGCTGGGGAAAAATGAACTGGCTTTAGAGATGTGCTGTGCACATACACAAAAAACAACGGCAAGACGCATTTCTTGTTACCAAATTTGCCACATAGGAAATACGCGCGGTACCGTGTCTCATACGTGCCGTTTTCTGGCCCCTACTGTTTCATCCGCTCCCAACAGGACCGCGTACCGGTCGGAGCTGGACGCCAGGAGAGATAGGCGCTCTGAAGCGGCCAAGGTTGAGGGGGTAAGGGGTGTCGCTCCAGGACCCGGTTGGGCAGCCGCAGCCCCGCGTCTCCCTGGTAGGAGCAGCCGCCCCGAAGGCCAGGAAGACGAGGAAGGGTGGCTGCAGCTGCTGTGTGGATGGGGTGAGCCCGATTTGTGCCAGTCGTGAAGGGTGCTGCAAGCATTTCCAGTTGGACACGCTGAAGATGCTGTCGCGGCGCGGGTTGTCGGGTGGCCGAGCCAGCCGTCAAGGAGGTACTTAGAGCTGCACCATGCGTTGTGAGTAAAAGTTGGTCTGTTGTGAGAGGTTGGAAAGGACGCAACTGGCGGCAAATGGCACTGTGCTTCTGATGCCGGCTGAGCAGCCGAGAATGCCGATGTCCTTGATCGATTCCCGAAATGACATTTCAGCGTCATGCCCATAGATGATGACAAATTTGTTGAATTGTTCACAGATGTATTGAGGTCACTTGTATGGAAGCGGCTAGTCCCGCCGATGATCAAGTTGGACGATAGCGGGGGGCAAGCGATCGTTACGCTAATTATCGTAGCTATAAGCTGGTTATCACAGTCCTTAAAGCGGCTCGCAAGCTTTTGCGCGCCGAAGCGTGGTAAGAGCAAGTGGGTGGTCATCGGCTTGCAAAATTTAGGCAAGCCAGCCTAACAATGCTAATGCCCCTTCAGCAAGCGGGATAATACCTCATGAATAATCATGATAACAATGATCTCGCCTTCCACATAATTTGTTCAGAATGTTGTACGACACCCGACCGCAGGGTTTTGGCGTGCATTTTGACAGGGTTCGATGTACGGTAACCTAGGCACAACTATAATTAGCGAAACGGCAAGGTCTCTTCCTTATTGTGATTTATCCCGCTGTCCCGCCCTTGCCACGGCCCCTAAGCCCCAGCTGCTGTCACAGTTCTATATCACATCAGCCAGTTTTTTAGGTCTAGTTAGCTTTGTGGCCTAATTTGGTATGGGAAACTCTTGGGTTTTTAGCCGACTTCACGAGCGAACACCCACAATCTTGCAATTTTCTCCACCGAACATTACCAAGCAGCTCGTATCCTGCACCTGGTAAACTTGTTAATTGACATACCCGTCTGTTTGGGCCTGTGTGCGTCTGTGCGTCTGTGTGTGTGTGTGTGTGTGTGTGTACGTGTGTGTACGTGCTTGTGTGCGTGATGGAGAGAGACGGAGGGAATTACTGAAGGATTTGCACGGGAAGGGGTTTGGGGAGTGGCATGGCTCTTGCAGAGATGAGGAAGGATATAATTGGCATTCATATGATTAACGTGGGGTTGGGGGTGTCCCCGTCTGTCGGCTACCGATGTCTCGGTTAGCGGACGGTTAACGTATCGTACACGTCACACGTTTCGACAGGTCGGTCTTGTCTTTTATGTGTGTAAGCTCTCCAGGCAAGGCTTGCAGGTGTTTGTTCGCGAGAAATTGTTTGCATATTCGAGCGGAGCAAACAGCTGCAAAGCCTGTTCGGCTGTAAGTTGATAAAGCAAAATCCTGCATTTGGCATCGTTAACTTGTCAAAGAACAATATAAAGATCTGAAAATTTTATATCCCCGAATCAGCTGTTTTGAAAGCTAATGCAGCCTCTTCGGGTCGGGACCGCACTGTCGGCCCTTTTAGCGCGAGGAGGAGTCGCCTGCTGTCGCGGAGCGTCGTCATACGCAGTTTCTGGCTTGCAATCTCCGATAAATGGCGAATTCATATCTCCAGGCAGGCCGCATGGTTCCGCAGCAAATGGATGCTCCACACAGCACGCAACGTGTACCTCGGACACCACAATCAGCACGCTGTCATGCGACCAACACATACCAGTAGAAAGGTCTCAGACCTCGCCCAGCGGGTCGGCCTTATCGGGCCTTCCCGAATCGAGGCTGCACTTTCCAGCAACGCGCAATGGCGCCAGGGGCCTTTCCTCCTCCTCATGGTCCCTTACGGCGGCACCGGTACCAGCTCCCGGCGTGGCGGCAGGCCTTTTACGGCATATGGGCACGACAAGCAACCTAGCCGAGGCGGCGCAAGAGGCAGCGCAGGTAGTGGGTCTGAACAAAGTCGCGGTTTCGGAGCTGGTTCTCTCGCGGGTCAAAGACCATGGGCTTCTGCACACGGCGGGTCTGATCGGCGGCAAATGGGCTGACGTCGCCAGCGATAAATCGACGTTTGAGGTAGGCGAACGTATCAGCGCTCGTGTGACGTGTCATGTCGTACGCACGCACACACACACACACACCAGTTGTGTATGTACGACGCCGTTCTACAAAGTCCGCCCCGACCCAGATGCGGTCTTAACGCTCTCCCCCCTTTGTCCTAACCCGCCATCACCCGCCTTCCAGTCCCTTCGGTGTCACACACCCGCGATCATCTTTTCCCTCCCTTCCCACCCCGTTCACGTTCCCATCGCATCCGGATTGATTCATTGTCCTCCTTCAACTCCACCCCGCTTTGGAAACGGCCCTCGTTTCCCGCCCACCCACCGATTCGACATCGCCTCTTGACATTTCATTCCCTTGTCATACACACCCCCCAACCCCCCCAACCCCCAGCCCCCCACCTAAAAAACCCGCCGCCCGAAGGTCCGCAACCCCGCCACTGGCGCCGTGATTGCCACCATGCCCCGCATGAGGGCCGATGAGACGCGGGCCGCCATAGCCGCAGCGCACGCCGTGTGGCCGCAGTGGCGATCTAAAACGGCCAGGGAGCGCGCGGCAGTGCTCAGAAAGTGACCCCCGAGGGTTTTTTCCTGTCGGGGGGGAGGGAGGGGCCGGGCGGGGGAGGAGGGGTGGCTGGGCGGGGCGGGGCGGGGCGGGGTGCCGGCGGGTTTGGGCCGCGGGCCTGAATGGATGGAGAGAACGGGAACGGGATGAAAAGTGCCTTGAGGACGGACGGGTGCTTGTGTTGTTGGATGGATGGATGGATGGATGGATGAATGAATGAATGAATGGATGGATGGATGGATGGATGGATGGATGGATGAATGGATGGATGGATGGATGGATGGATGGATGGATGGATGGATGAATGAATGGATGGATGGATGGATGGATGGGTGGATGGATGGATGGATGGATGGATGGATGGATGGATGGAATTACTAAAATATTTAATTACATGGATGGAGGGATGGGGGGAGGGGGAGAGGACTGATTTATGGATGAATGGATGAATGGAGGGAGGGAGGGAGGCAGTGTATTTTTTTTCCGTAATATATTACGGTTCCGTAATAAGATGGCATATTTGCGTTCTGCGCTCCGTCATAGACCATGGTAAAGGCCTGGTACGGTCGTTACGGAGCCGGGGCGGGCCGAAGGCCCCCAGAGGCGTTCTATTTTAGTATAAATAAGTTATAAATGAGCGATGGGGCCCAAGAAATTAACTACTATAGCTGGTCCGGGTAGCGTCAAAGCATTCCTGACCACCGGCAGGCCAAAACCTAGTAGCGGAGATGCTGGTAACACTTCAAACAATATAGCGAGTACAAGAGAGACATAAGAACCAGATATGTGCTGGTGTATCAGGTACCCTGTGTGGGCAGGGGGGGTCTGGGGGGGCTTGCCCCCCAGAAAAAAATTCTGGCAGTAATAAACGTATTGGACTGATGGCATATTTATTACGAAACTCGTAACAGATTCAGGATCGGCCTCCACGAAAAAAAAACACTGGAGGGAGGGATCCCCCATCACTTCACTCCTCCAGAGGTGGCCTCCTGGCGCCCACTTTCCCCTGACACCCCCTCCCCCCGCAACTTGCTCTGGCACTTGGTGCTTCGGACGGGTCGGCATTGGGTATCGTCGTACATCACATGATTTCCCTACACCCCTAACGCCACACCTTGACCCCCAACCCCCCGGGTCAGGTGGCATGACCTGATCCTGGAGCGCAAGTACGACATTGCGGCGATCATGACACTGGAGTGCGGCAAACCCACGGGGGAGGCGCTGGCGGAGATTGCCTCCGGGTGAGTGAGGGGAAGGGGGAGGGGGAGGGGGGAAGAAGGGTGGGTACGTCGTTTTGGAGTGTGGGAGGAGGCGTTTCATCATCATTGCCATCATCGTCATAAAAATCATAAGCGTCATCACGTTTCCCCTTCTTCCCCCCCCCCTCATCCCCCTTCTACCCGGGTTAAGATACCTGGCCTACCGCCCTACCCCATTATTATATTTAATTTTATTTTATTTATGCTTGTATTCAATTTTATTTATTTCTGACCCCGCCCCCTCTTTTCCCCTCTCTCACCCCTCCCCCTCCTTCCTCCCCCCCTGCCTCTCTCTCCCCTTCCCCATCCGCCATCTATCTTTGGTATCTGCTCCATTCGCCAGTGGCTCGTCTTACCCCCCCCCTCCCCCCTCCTCCCCACTCGTAGTGCCGCCTCCGTGGACTGGTTCGCCGGTGAAGCTGTCCGGGTGTGTGGTGACGTGCTGGAGCCGCCGCTCCGAGACCGCCGCATGCTGGTGATCAAGCAGCCGGTGGGGGTGGTGGGGGCCATCACGCCCTGGAACTTCCCCATGTCGATGGTGGGTGCAACTGTACTGGCTGGGGGGCCAGGGCGGTGCGAGTGGATGTTGGTGGGGGGGTGGAGCGTGTGTGTGTGTGTGTGTGGCCGTGTGACACGACATAGTTTGGTGGGTGAATGGCTGTGGAGGTATGGGTGTAGGTGTGGTTTGGGTTTGCAGCATTGTTATTACATGTGTGGTGGTTGTTATTACATGTGTGGTGGTTGTTATTACATGTGTGGTGGTGGTTATTACATGTGTGGTGGTGGTTATTACATGTGTGGTGGGGGGAAAGGTAAGAAAAGGGGTTTAAGTAAGTGGAGAGGGGCTGTGGGGTTTTATTAATGTGCCGGCGGGAGGTGAGCGGCGGGTTTGTGTGCTGAACACTTCACCCGGGTGTTCAGTGTTGGAGTTGGAGGGAGGGGGGTTCAGCACTCTTGTCTACATGAGCAGCACTACGGTGGCATTTCCCCTAGTAACTGGGGGGGAGATCGGGGGTGGGGAGAGGTTCACATGTTCGCTGCTGTTGTCGTATGTTTCCGTATATTTTTCAGGCCCAGTCCAGGTGGCATGTGTGTTTCAGGTTGCAGCCTTAGGCCCGCCGCCGTTTGATGTGTGTATTTTCAGTACTACCCCTCCTCCTCTCCCCCCCATACACAGCAGCCCGCAACCCGCCAATACACCTCCCTCGCACCTCCCCCACCCCCCAGATAACGCGCAAGGTAGCTCCGGCGTTGGCGGCAGGATGTACGGTACGTACGGATGAAGAGGGAAGGGGCTTACGTCGTGGCGGGGGTGTGGCCGATGCATCCTTGCGCAGTGCGCCGGACACAGAACTCCTTTTCCACCTGTGCATATCATTCCCTCCCTATATATCCCCGTCCCTCTACATCCCCCCCCCCTAACCCTAACCCTAACGGACGCCTTTCGGTCAGTTCTGCTTCCTGTACACTCTTACCCTCGCAGCAGCTTCACTCATTTGTGGTTCGTCTTTCCCCCCCTCAGCCCCTCACCCCCTCATCCCCCTCACCCCCCTCACCCCCCTCACCCCCTC